CTCAACAAACAAACAGTGTATTATTATTAATAATGAAAGAAGCATGTGCAGGTGAGTCCACCATATCAAAGGAGCAATATTCACAATCACAGCTTGAAAAAGACCCTCCAAATGGCGACGAGATGCAACTGCCGCAAGAATGGACTTACGAACAATAATGTAGGTCGTAAATAATAATTATTATTAATAATAATAATAATTAATAAATAATAATAATAATAAATGAACGGCACAAGTCAGCAGAGAGGAATCTTCAAGTAAAAGACAAAAAAAAGTGAGATTGAAAGGGAACATGGTTTCGCTGTCTTTGATTGGTGATTTGGAGTAAGTTGGGTGTAAATGGGGTCAATTTCTAGGTGTTGAATAAGCTGCTGTTTTTTTTTTTTTTTTATTTTTTTTTCTGTAAATAAGTGAAGTGTTGATTATTGGCCAAGTATCTGTATCATATTTGAAATTTATGGAGATTCAATTAATTTCATTTGGTGAACGCGTGACTTTTAGGGAGATTCATATAATTACATTTTGAATAGACATGTCCACGGGCCGATTAAATCGGTCCTGGCTCGGCCCTGAACCAGCCTCTTAACGGCCGGTTTGCTAGTTCGTTGAACCGTACTCTTAGGGTTGCGGTTCGGTCCCGATTCATAATTTTTTTTTTTTTGGGACCGTCCGGTCCGGGCCAGGTCGGGTTGGGCCACGGTCGGACGACGAGCTACGTTTTTTTTTTGAAGGTCGTATCGGCCCGTGAACCAACCCCTGACCGGCCGGGTCGGTGAACCGGCGGTTCAGGGCCAGTGCATAGTTTATTTCAGGCCGATCACGGGCCATGATATTGAGGCCGCGGGCTGCCCGGGTCGCGGCCCGACAATTGGCCAGCTCTACTATTGAAAAGATAGTGTATAAGAGTGACCAAAAATTCTATCAACTAGCGGAGGACTGAATTGACAAGTTAACCACATATCTTAAATATTTATTTTTAGTACACATGTCAATACACTATTTTCGACAATCTTGTCAATACACTATTTTCGAACAATTGTGATGGTTATGATTTGATAGATCGAAAGCAGAACTATTATGTAAGTTGTACTATTTGATAGCTCGAAAGCAAAACTACGGAAAAACAGAGAGAATGATATATATTAAATATATATAAAGGGAGTTAACTTTAAAAATAGGAATGATAATTTTTATTTTTGATTGGAGTTGACATATATTTATATTTAATTTCATATCTCTCACTATTTTGTTTATATCTGTTTGACAACAATATTAAATATTGGTTTGGATTTTTTTTTTTAAATTTCATTTGGTTGTACCAATTAATTTAGTTATTTAAGAACGTTCAACCGTGCATTGCAGTACTTGTACGCTAGAGTAGCAACTTCTGAACAGAAGAGATGTTACGCTTTTCATTGGTTGTTTTGCTATATTTGTCAAACGAACTCATGGTGCACAAATTGAATTACCCCTACCATTCCACAGTGTGTGTGTTGTCGAATTTAAGTTATTTTCGGAGTAAAGCTCCTGCTAGATCTAATTGAATCGGTTGTTCTCGATTGTTTTCTAGTCTGTAAATATGTGTATTTATTATTAAAAAGTCGTTTCGAAAAAAGAAACGACTTTTAAGAAATGATTAGGTTGTTCGTGATTGTTCTCGATCTGTATTTTCTAAATTAGGATATGTAAACTCTCACTATAACGCAGTGAAAAATTAATATTAGGGGTGTACTTGATTAGGATTTCTAAAATTTTTTTAAGACTTTAAAAATCTTGGTGTTTTCAATTTAGATTTGTTAAGACTTTTAAAAGTCTTGAGGTATTCAACTGAGATTTTAAAAAATCGTTCGAAATTTGATGCATTTAAAATTTATTTGAGACTATGATTTGTTAAGACTCTTTAAGATTTGGTGAGATTACTAAAAAAAACCTTATACGAAATCTCACTTCAAATTTCATCCACAAACTTAAGATTTCACGGAATTTCTCCAAAATTTGAGAATCTTAACAAATCTCAATTCTTAAAAAGTCTCAAAGTGTCATTTGAAATCTCAATTCGTTCAGTTTGTGGATAACTATAATAGGAAGAGGAGAGAGAATTATAAAATGAAAATGATAATAATAATAAGAATATATTATCTCGAATCACTAAAATTAAGAAAATTTGAGATAAAGATAGTCAACCCATAATTCTAAGATTTTAATCTACTAACAACAATTATTCAGATACAGAGTATGCAGATAAGTGGACCTCACTCCATATGAGTGTTATGTACATTTATTTATTATGTATTTGTAACATTTTTCTTCCCAGATAACATGATAAATATTTACTTTCTTTATAGTGAATACAATAAAGAGAATTGATGAACCATCAACAATATAACAACCCAACGTAACTAGTAAAGTATCATATATTTAACGGGCAAATTCATCATATATACTTGAAGATAAACCTTATACCGTGCACACAGAACTCCTTTTTATATAAACCCTAGAATATATACACACAGCACACGCCAGTCAAGATGCATTTACATTCAAATGTTCGGTTAATCTAAATCGATACGTTAAAACTTCAACCAAAATATTACATTTTTTTTTTAAATATTCCGCCAACGCCTCAGCCTGTTAAAAGTTTAGCTAAAACAATAAAACATAAAGGAATGCTAAAAGAACACGAAATACCAGCACAATGACCTTTTCTGCATTTTCTTCCTTAACATGAAAAGTAAAACATATTAAGGGGGGAAAAAAGAGAGAGCTCAAATTAAATAGAATAATAAAACGGAAGATGATGGTTAGAGATGGTAGAAAATCACTTGCAAAGTTTAAGTTGGACACGAACGTTAGCAGAAAATGTTTGTCGAAGTCTTTTTTTATGTATGCAGATAATTAGCCGCCATCATGAGTTCCAAAGTCAGCTCTGGTTCGATGTGGAACTCAGTTTCCTTGCCACTACAATGTACAAAGCCCAAATGGGAACTGCCATAAGAGTTTTCCAAACATTCGAACCACAAATCCAGAAAAAACGAGAAATTACGGTTCCACCACTTGTCAATTTAACCTATTTCCTATAACCAGAGAGCAGTTTTGCTATGGAGCCATCGGATGGCTTGACTTATGGAGTCATTTTTCGGTTACGCGGCAAGTTAATTATAGCCATTATCATCAGAGCACGTGAGAAAAATGGTGTCAATCTAACCAATGCTAAAAATTGAACACCAGACTTCAATTCTTGGATATTTCTTAAGAAATAAACACACAGAAAATAAGAGGCAGACGATAAACCTGGCATATTGAAGAGACCAGTAGAAGTACAGGCAAATCTTCTCCAGAATAACCGTGCTTATCTCCGGAAACGTCACCTCTCCATGCTACGTCTCAGCAAAACTACCTGAAAAATGCGCACACATGAACTTTTCCCCCCCAAAAAAAACAGGTCAGACAAGAAAGAAAAACCAACTAATCCCCAAA